GCCCCCCGCGCCCCGAGCGCCGCCCCATCCACCTGCCGGCCACGCCCGGCCCCGGGCCACTGGGCTCCCACGGCTCGCCCGGGCTCTGCTCCGCGCCTCTCGGAGAGGCAAGTTTGTTACCCCGCAGTTTGGGAGTTGGATTGTCCACCCCGCCTTCAGATAACCCGTTTGCAGGAAAATGGTTTTATTCTGGGGCTCGAAATTGGGGATGGGGGTGCAGGCCTGGGTAGTGGAATGTGAAGAATGGCCATCCCTCTTTTTTTTTTTTTTTTTCCCGCTCCCTTTTTCTTTTTTCCTGAAACAAACACAAAAGTCCCTTCCTACAGTCTGGCCAGGAGGAATTTGGAGGCTGGAAGTAGACTGAGGAAGTCTCCGCAAGCAGAGTTCCTGACAGTGTCTGGAAGGCCTTGAATCTGCTGCCCTTTCCACCTGTTTCAGGGAGCCTGCGTCCAGGGGAACACTACAGTTCCCCGCCTGGGGGTCTGCTCCACCCCCACCCCCGGGGCCTATTCCAGTGCGGGGGTGGGGGGGTGGGGGGGGTGTCTGGGGCGGCTGCCCTGAGGCCCCAGCCCTGGTTTGTGGCAGTCCCGCCCCTTTCTGGCTGGAGGCTCTGACGCTTGGTGGTCCTCAGGGTCCTCCTTGGGGGCTCTGGTTCCCCTCCCTCCACCCCAGCCCAGTCTTGGGATCAGGAAGGGAAGGGGATGGGAAGGCTGGTGAGGGGCGGCTGCCCCCAGTGTCCCCGACTACGTCAGGGGCTGTGGCCTCCGTGTGCGCTTGGTCCGGCGGGTGGGGGCTGAGCCCACGAACTCGAACTGCTTCTGCCTCTCGGCGTGGTTGGGGAAGGGCAGCTGGCCCTGGTAGAGGCGCTTGATGAAGTGAGCCTCTCGTTGGTTCTGGCGGCTGCGAGAAGCCTGGCGGGGCCGGCCCTGCCTCGTGAAGGCCATGAACCATCCCTCGTGCCGGGCATTCTGGAAGGCCGTGTAGTTGTTCTCCAGCACAATCTCCGTGAACACACAGTCTTTGCTCTTCCCGCTGGGCTGCGGAGGGAAGGAGGGTGAGGAGGGGAGTTTGTCCACCCAACCTGTCTGGCTTGTCAGCCTTTTGGGCCTATTCTGTAGGACAAAGGAGGGAGTGATGGGGGCTGCGTGCCCAAGGACTTCTGCCTGGTGAGGTGAGACGGGTGCCCTTGTTGGAGAGGCAAAAGTGGGAGAAAGGAATAAGTTTTGCTGGGAGTCAGATCTGAACTTAAACACAGGCTTGTCATTTGCAAGTTGTACACCTTGAGAACGGTGTTTAGCCATGCCGAGCCTGTTTCCCCAGACGTGGCATAAAGATCCAGATTATTCTGCAGTGCGTACTCAGTGGGTACTCAGCACATGAGAACACTCCTCAGTGTGGGCGAATGGTAACTGCTGGGTGGAGGAAAAGGAGGCAACAGCCTCTAATGAAAAGAAGGGGCAAATGTTTACAGAATAAAGACAATGTCAGGAACCACACAGCCACCCATTTGACCTTATCCATAGCCTTGACCCTATGCCCATTTTTATAGACGAGAAGCCTGAGGCTTGACTGAAATCAGCAAATATTTGGTGAGAACAGCCAGAATCAGAAGCCAGGATTGACAAATGCTAAAGGAAATGGAATTCTCCCTACACAACAGTGCTGGGCCTGCCATTGTGGAGAGGTTACACTAGCAGGCAGTTTTGTAGGCAGTGTGCATCTTCCTGGACGGATTCTGGGGACCCCACTGACCTTGGAGGAGCTTGTGGCCGTGTATGAGTGCCCACTCTCAGCCCTGATCAGCACTTAACCCTCAACATGAAGGCTGCAATCTCATGTAGGTGCTAAAATCCTGACTGATTGATGTTGGGACACAGCCCGGAAATCAGAGCCAAAGAGACTTACAGATCACTAAGTGTTCTGAGGGCTTCTAGACCCACAGGAACTCATTTAAATGGAGAAACCAGAGAGTGGCTGAGTGTTGGGGTGTGAGTAGAAGTAGTCCTGGCCTGGGCCCAGTAGAGGGGAGTGGGGTGCTGTGGGGCAGGCAGTAAGATTGGTTCACTCATCCACTCGCCCTCCTTCCAGGTCTCACCTTTCCGATGAGCTTGCCCCTCTTGTTCATGCAGATGTATTTCTCACTCTCAGCACCCTTGATGCGCACGCGGCTTCCAAAGGTGTCCGTCTCCACTATGAGTTTGGCTGTGATGGGGGAGGGGGAGAAAGACTTCTGTCCATGGGGGTTCCCGGCTCAGGGCTGTGGCAGGGGGCCCCCCAACCAGCCTGACCTCCGAGCTTGGGCGGGGGGGCACCGGGAGGCTCTCACACTTGGGTCCCTGCCCTGGCACAGGATCTGGGGAGAGACCAGGTTAGGCAGGCCAGGGGTGTGAGTGGCCTCTGGCGAGGGCTGGGTCTCACCGAACTTGTTGCCGTCCTCCGCGGTGGCAGAGATGCGACGCCCGGTGACCTGCACGTGCTTGCCACTGGTCCGGCTGTAGAGCTGGTACTCGCGTATCTGCCGCCGGCTCAGCTGGTCGGTCATGGCGCCCTGGTCCCTCACGTACTGGTTAAAATTAGGAGACGGGTGATTCTCCCCCTTTGCGGTTACCAAGGGAAAAATAGTGTCAATTTGCTTTGGGTGACACCACCACTGGTCCATCCAGGGGAGCGGGCTGTGGAGGTGAGTGTGATGCGGGCAGGTCCATTGGTCCTGGGAAGCAGAGGTGCAGGGCAAGGGGACATATGATCCTCCCAGGCCAGTGGGTGAGCCAGTCGTGACCTCTGGGCTCTCTATCTGCCAGGCTTGGGGGACACCTGGTGATCTAGTGCCGACCTGGAATCGTGACTCTGGTTTCTAGAAGGAACCCAATTTCAGCGCGAACTGTGGAATCCCGAGCTCCTGCCCGCCTCCCCTGCCCCTGCCCCTGGGTGCTCAGGGCTCTCAGAGACGCCGGCCCCGGTTCAGTGTTCCTCCCTCCTCTAGGGGTGAGGGAGGTGGAGGCCGCAGCAGGAAGAGGCGCTAGGGGTGGTGGCCCAGGGGCGCCCCCGGGAGGCGCCGGCCTGCCTGTGCCACGATGTAATAGGCTCGTGGCCAGTGGGGGCGATGTTGCAGCCTGCTGCCTGCTCCCCAGGTTCCACCGTGCACCCTGCCAAGCCTGGCCGAGTACCGCCCAGGCCCAGTCTCTCCTTACCTATCTGCAACACTGAGCGGGAGAAAAACAGACCACTTCCTGTCCTCCCTCTCCAGTAAGGTGCAAACCTGATGCCATTTCTCAGCGGCAGCTGCTGGTGACAGCTTCAACCCTAGGCTCAAATGTTTCTCTCTCCACCCGATCCTGCTGGCCAGACTCTCTCTGCCCCAGACTTTCTCTGCCCCAGATCCCTAAGGCCACCTTTATCCCAGGCCCAGTCACAACCACCGAGACAGACCTGGACCCAGATCAGCATCTGTCAGAGGCCACTCTGTTGTAGAGGGAGGAGCCGGAGCCGGAAGGATCAGCTTTGAGGAAAGGGGCGGTGAGTGAGCGGCTCCAGGCTGACCCTGTAACCCGCTCAGGGTTAACCCTTCATGTGTGTCACTGCTCATTTCCGACTCCAGCTCAGCCACTGGCCAGGAGTGCCGCCAGAAACCCCCTGCCTATGAGAGCAGGGCCTGGAGACTCAGAGCAGCGAAGTGCGACCCGCACCCCACCCTGGAATTTGGGGTGGGGGCCTGCCTCCCTGCCAGGGAGTGGGGTCTGGCTGGCCCAGGACCCTCGGTGAGGTCCGGCCTGTCCCCAGCCCCCAGCCTCCTGGCCCAGGTTCAGGCCCTCCGCCCCTCTTGGCGGGCAGCCTTCTTCTGGCTGTCTGTTCCAGGTCAGGAGCAGAGAGGGCCCCCCTGAAGCCCCCTCCTCTCCTTGTCCCCCTTCAGGCCCTGCACAAAAGCAGCCCCACGCCCCCCCCACAACCCCACAGCCCACAAGTCGCTCTCCCCGCGGGACCTGGCCTGTCCCTTTCATGTTCCCGCTGCAGGGGGACCTCCCCTTCCACTGCTGCAGACAGCTGCTTGTCAGACGGCCCCTCAAGCATGGCTATGGTCCGGCCTGCCGGCCCCCCCTCCAAGGGGGGTGAGGGGGCACTTCAAGGGGGAAAGGACAGCTTTGCCACCTTCCCTGAGTCCTGAATGGGGCCTCAGCCAGGCCATAAACGCCCCGGCCAGCCTCACCATTGTGCTAATTCCCCTTCCAGAACAGGTTGGGCCCACCCCTAGCCCCCTCCCGGCCAGGCTGGGGGCTTTCTTCTTGCTCTCCCTGGATGTGTGAAGCAAAAAGCCTGGAACGGGGGCTAGAGCAAAAGGGGGAAGGAAAGGGGGGGGAGTTGTCTCTCTCTCTCCCACCCCCCCACTGCTTCAAAGGCAGCCCCTTTCCCTCTCCCAGAGAAAAGGCATTTACCTTCAAAAAAAGTCCCCACTGGATATGAAGAGAAGCGGGCCTCTGGCCTGGGAAAGCCAAGCGATCTCTCCCCAGAGCGGTTCTGGACCAGTGCATTTTAATAGCTGCACTTTTATGGAGGATCACAAAAAGGGACCGAGCCTTGCACAGGGGGCTGAGGCTTGGGGTGGGGGGGTGTGCATGGGGGGGGGGGGCGGTAATAGGGTGGGGGGAGTGTGGAGATGCAAACCCTGAATCTTGTCCCAAAAAAACCTCTTTGGGCTTCACCTCATTGCCCTGTAGGTAAGGAGTCACCCCGCCCTGGCTGGGCATTCTGACTGTCCACTCAATCCCCCAGGACAGTGGCCCCCCAGGACATCCGTGTTGGGGAGCGTGGGGTAGTAAGTGGAACGCACAAGTGGTTTTGCATGGAAACCTGTGTTTTCAGGTACCTCCAAGTACAAGCCTCACCTGAGCCAGCACCTCTGCCCTCTACCTACCACTCCAGACTCCATCCCTCAAGCCTGGGCTGCCCCATGCATTTAGCCTTGGGTGGGGGAGGAACACGTGTGGCAATAAGGAGAGAGAAACAGAGACTCCAGGACAAGTAGGGACAGGGAGGGTCATGGAGGGAGGACAGATAAAGACCTCAGTGAATCCCCAAATGTGCCTTAGCCCCTTCTACCCGCCTCCAAAGGCTGACACCAACCCCCCAACCTCAAAAACCATCTGTATCCAGGGGGAGACCAGAACCTGCCGAGAGGAGACTACCCGCCCCAGCTGGGTGGGGTGGGGGGAGATGGGGAAAAGCTGGTGGGGGGGGGCGCCCGCCTACCTGAGTTTGACAGCAGAGAATCAGTAGCTGCAGGCACCTGTGTGGGAAGACAAGGCAGACCCTGGTGTGGGTGCCAGCCGTCAACCCAGGGCGAGCAACCAGGCACCCCCCCCAGCCCCTCCGTGTGGGGTCCCGGTAAGATTAGGTCTGCCCCAGGCTGGAAATGGCGACAAAACTTCAGTCCAGAGAGGGAGCACACTTACAGAGTGAGGTTGGGCAGCAGGCGGGTGGCTCCCATCGCCGGAGAGATTTCTTGGGGCGGTTGCCCCCCTGCCCCCAAACTCAGGAGCAGATATGGGCAGTCCCCAGGGGTAGAGTCCCAGAGAAGCCAAGGTCTCTTCAAGCCACAGGTTTTCAGGGGGGAGAGGAGGAGAGAGAGGGGAGGAGGAGGAGAGAGAAGGGAGGGGAGGAGGAGTGGGGGAGGAGGGCGTAATTGGGAGACTGAGGTGTGAGGTGTCCACCTTCCTGGCCAGTGAGCCGGCTAAGCAGCCACCGGCGGGGGCCGCCAGCCTCTTGCTGGGCTACCCGAGCACAGAGGATGGGGCTGCTGGATAAGGAGGCTGGCTGGCCCCTGTGGTCTCCCCCGTTTTTCCTGACCCTCAGACCTGGACTGGAGGGCCCCTCCTCCCCTCCCAGGGCCAGCTTCTCCCGCCCTCAGGTCCGGTGCCCCCCCTCCCCAAGGGAGAGTGCAGGTATCATTCCGGGACAGGGGTTGCTGAGTCTGGCTTTGGGGGTGGAAATTCCCAGAAGCAGCCTTAAAAGGAGGAGCCTCCCTCCAGGGGGCAGGCGGTGGGCTTGGCTAGGAGCGCTTGCTTCCACCGCCTCTGTCACCCCTTGCTCCCCCTCTCTGCTGTCTGGCCACGGGGATGGAGGTGTTAAGGCTGTCCCAACTGGCAGCAAATAGTGGGTGCAACAGGTGGGGGGCCAGGGATGGGGGAGAAGGTGCAGCTGGGGCTGTGGAAGGACCCGTCTCAGAGAAGACAGACTCGGAGAAGAGCTGGTGCATTGGCGTGAGCTACTTTTCTCTGGGCCTGGGCACTTTTCTCCTAGAAATGGGGCGGTACCGCCTCAGGAGGTCGGAGGACCAAATGAGATGACTGCACTGAGCAGACGCCAAAAGGTGTAATATGTTCTTGGGCCTCACCCATCATCCTCTCTGGGGCAGCAGCTGTCCCTAGGGCCTCCTCCCTGCGTCCACCAGCAGCTGCCTGGGATGAAGTGCCCACCAGCCTCTTCACATGACCTCTGGTCCCACCCTGCTCTGTACCGTCCCAGTATTACGCCATTCGACAGACAGGGAAACTGAGGCACACTGGTAGGTAGTTAGTTCAGAATGACCCAGCTAGTGAATGGTGGAACTAGGTTCCTAAAGTCCATGCTCTTTCTATTCCACATGGATCTCATCTGGAGACTTTCTGCTGTGTCCACGCCCTCCGGGCTGAGATATCCAAGGTCCCAGAAGCTGGTGACCAGGGACTCTAACTGTTCCTTCCCTACAGAATGTGGGTGATGGTGACTGTGGAAGCGGGCTCGTGCTTAGGGGGATCTCCGAGGGAAGCCCCCGCATCGGGAAGCAGAGCTCACACCTCAGCTCTGGGCTCTGAGGTCTAAGTGCCCCCAGGATGGAAAGAGAAGGGGAAATGCTGGGTGTGGATGTATTTACCTAAAGAGATGAGCAGGAGGGCGAAACTCTCACCTCCAGGCCTCCTTCTCACCTTCCTGAGCTAGATCAATCCACAAAGTTGTCTGCCACCCTTCCCCCCCAGACAAGCCCCAAGGCCACCTCCTGGCCACCTCCAGCGGTCCAGCTCCAGCACCTGGCTCCCAGCTCCGCCCACGGTGCCCCACGGGGGCTCAGGGTCCTGTTGAGCCTGACCTAGCCTGGGGAGTGCGGAGGTAGTCCTGTAACTGGGGGAGTCCAGGGTTGGAACCATACTGGAATCATACTGTCAAAAGTGGAAGGGCTTGGGGCGCCTGGGTGGCTCAGTCATTAAGCGTCTGCCTTCGGCTCAGGTCATGATCCCAGGGTCCTGGGATCGAGCCCTGCATCGGGCTCCCTGCTTGGCAAAAAGCCTGCTTCTTCCTTTCCCACTCCCCTTGCTTGTGTTCCCTCTCTCTCGCTGTGTCTCTGTCAAATAAATAAATAAAATCTTAAAAAACAAAAAAACCCCAAAACCGGAAGGGCTCTTAGATTCTTCATTTGGTCCCTGAGGAGGCCCAGGGAGGGTCTCACAGCTAGTTAGTGAGTGGCATGACTTGGACAAGGCATCAGGTAACCAGACTCCCAGTCCAGTGCTCATCATTTTCTCAGCATGCCCCAGACTGTCCTGCTTCTCTGCTTTTGCCCAGGCTGATGCTCCTGATCATTTTCCACATTTGTTCCATTTGGGGCAGGATTTAAACTCTGCCTCTTCCGAGGAAATGCCTGAATCTCCCTCTCTGCTGTGGTTGGTGCTGGCTCTGGCTCCATTCTCCGGGGAGCCCACGACCTCACCCACATCTCTGCCTGCTCCTAGCTCCCGGCTAGGGTACTCAGGGCTACCTCCTGCCGCCCTCAATCCTGGGATGACAGGTAAGAGCAGACGCATGGAGGTAGTTCAGAATTGGAATTGTGGGGTTGACTGGTGAGCTGGGAGATGGAATGAAATAAGGAGTCAGGTGTGGGGAGTGCCACCTAGCACTGTCTGGGCCCCAGTTTTCTGAGCCTGAGTGCCTGGTTCCTATTGGTGGGAGAGGGGCCTGTTGTCACTGGCCAGCCCCCCAGCCAGGCCTGGGTCTCCATGGTAACAGATGCCAGCAGTCAAGCTTGGCCTTGGGGCTCAGCCAGGGGTCTGTGCCAGGGGGCTCTGGGGCATGGCTGGGTAGCCTGTTTCATGGTGCGACATCTGCTCATTGTCCCTTCCCATTGTGCACCCGCAGGCCTGGCTTTCTGACTCAGCTTGCTCCTTTACCCCTATGGAGAGGCCAGTGCTGGGCTCCAAGAGGGGAGGCAGCATGGAGAGTGTTCCATGGATTTTATCCCCATCCCCAGGCCCTGTCCTCCATGGGCTGTGTGATCTATGGCAAGTCCCTTCACTTCTCTGGTCTCAGCTTGCTAATTTGTAAAAAGGAAATGGCCATTATCGATGCTGTCAAAACTGCCACCGTGAGTATCAACTGAGGTGGACACTCCCTGAAAAGTATCAAGGACCAAAAGAATGGCGGCAAGGGGCCTAGACCCTAGACCTCTTATGTGGCCCAGACTCAGTTTACCTAAATTTTGCCCCACTCTCTCCCTTGACTAGAGGGAGCTGGGAGGCAGAAGGTAGGGTTCATTAACATTTATGGGGGGAGGTGGCAGGAGGTGATAAGGGAAGTGAGAAGTAGCCTGGGCTGCATTGGTTAATCCCCACCCCCTAGTGCCAAGTTCAACACCCCCCAACTGAGGCGTCTCACGCCTGCTCCTTCTAACAGCCCAGCTGGTGCAGGCACAGAGCCCGCAGGGCCCACCTGCAGACCTGCCACTTGTCACCACCTGCTTCGACCCGGCTCACCCTTTTCCTGTTGAAAAACAGAAGGGCTGGCGCTGGGGCTGGGGCAGGGCAAAAGGCACCTGGACGGGTCCAGGCCGGGGAGCCCTTCATCTTTGCCGCTCGGTCCCTACTGCCTGCCAGCACTCGGAGGCCAAGTCGGTGGTGTAGCTGACCCCGGCCCTTCTGTGCAGACCCCGGGTGCAGCCAGGCTGCTGGGGCGTTGGCCTGGGGCGAGGTGGCGGCGGAGGGAAGAAGTCCCTGTGTGGCTGGGGGCTGCCCAGTGTAACTCCCGGCCTGCATTCTAACGACTGCTTTCAGTTCATGAGACTTCCTAGCGCTCCGCTGCGGGGCTCTCCCCCCTCCCATCCGGAGTGGTTAAAGAGCTGGGGGCCACACTACCTGGCAGGAACCCTGGTTCCTCCACTAGTTCTGTAGCCTTGGGGGCAAGTTGTTTCACCTCTCTGTGCCTCATCTTCCAGGTCTGAGAAGCCGGGCTTAACGGGAGTGAGTCCCGGGAGGCCCTCCCGGCTGCACCCATAGCCCAGCACGCCCAGCACGCCCAGCACGTTCTTCCTGCAATCATGGCAATCTTCTTTTGTTCAGACCCCCAAGCTTGCTCTGCCTCAGGCCCTTTGCATTCTTGGCCCCTGCTCCTACAAGTGTCCTTCTGCCGGCTACTCCTGGGGCCTGCCACCCCCTTCTTGTCACTCCTCTCCTTTGAGGGGCTTCCTCTGATCTCCCAACAGTACTTCTCCAGCCTGGAACTTAGCCTGTTTCACATCCTGCAAAGCACGGGACAGTAACTGACATTTTGTTGTTGGCTTTTGTTTCCACGAGGCTGGAGGGGACTTGAAGGTGAAGAATTTGTCCCACCCTGTGTCACTCTGGCATGAAGCCATGAGAAATGCCTGCTGCCCACCTGGAGCCAGATGTGAACTGCTGTCCGGGTGACCCGAGGTCAGTGGCTCATTCTCATTTGTTAGAGGGTGGGGCGATGCCCACATCTGTCCTATGGGGTGAAGAGAGCAAGCAGCAAGAACGCTAGCCCTACCCTCCTCCACCTCTCCTGGCTTCAAGAGAACCGGAGGCTGAACACGGACACAAAAGCCTGCTTGCTGACCTTCCCATGCCGGCATTCAGACCTCCCACCGTCTGGGACCCTGCCTCCGGATCCTGGAGAGAGGCAGGGCCATCTCCCCATTGGCCCACTTTAGATTTGGCTGGTGGAGGTGTGGGGGAGGGCCAGAAGCCCAGCAGAGGCCCTGCAAGTATAAGCCCAAGTGGGGGGCCTTCTGTGTGTCACCATGGGTGACCCAGGCTCCAGGTCATTCACCCCCTTGCCAGTCCCCCCTTGCCTCACCCGAACACCCTGGGGAGCCCTGTTCCGTGGCTCCGGGAACTGTCCTGGGGGATGCCTCACAGGGGAGTTAAGAGTGTTTACCTGTCCACCTCCTGTAAGAGACCCTCTAGAGCCTCTGTAAAGCCTGCCTCATGTGCCCTGCCTGGGAGGGTGTCCTTGAAGGTCCAGGCCTCCGGGCTCTTGCCTGACACAGATCTGCACACAAATGAGCAGGAGCTCACCCTGAACACGAGGCAAGCCTGGGAGCACACAACTAGCATCCCACCTCCGGGGTTCCAATAGACGTCCTGTGTATTGGACAACAGACAGACGTGATTAGGGCCAGGAGAGAAGATCCTCAGGCTAGTCTGACGGGCCAAGGACCTTCCTGGCAGGGTGGGCAGCTCTCACCCCTTGGTTCAGCACGTGGCAAATGGGCCAGCCACAAGGGAGTGTGGACACAGGAAGACTCACACCAGCTGGAGCTCCCTCCCTCAGGCCAGGGGCAGAAAGCTGAAGCTGGGCAAGGGGCTGAGACACTTGGTTTTTTCCCTGAAGCTGGGTGGGGGTGGGTGGGAGTGGGAGTGGGTGAGAGTTTGAGGACAAGAAAGGGAGGTAAGGGGAGGTAAAAGAGCAGAGCAGAGCAGAACCCAGCTGGCCCGCGGCCGCCCTCTGCCGGGCACACGGGCTCACCGCAGCCAGCGAGAAGGCCGGCCCCTGGGAACAGATGGCAGAAACAAGGTCCTGACAAAGCAAACTTTATTGTGGCCCCGAGGTTGGAGCTTTTCCCTCCAGGTCCTGCTGAAACTCGAGAGTTGGGGGTGAGGGCCTCTTGTGTCGCCCCCAACAGCTCCATCCCATTCAGACTCAGGTGGAGAGAGGCTCGGCGGGGGGAACCTGGGGAACACGCCGAGGAAGGCCACCCCGCATGTGCTCTAGCTGGCTCTCCCGCAGTCCCTGCAGCCAGGCCACTCCTGGCTCCTCATTTCTTGAATCCGGGCTTTTTAGGTTTGAATGTGGGTTTGGCCTTTTTCACAGGACTCTTGTCTTTAAGCCTGGGTCTCACGGCCTCCTCTTCCTTTTCCACCTTTTTTTTCTTGGCAACGCTTGTCTGCTTCTGGGACGCCAGCCTCTTGACTTGTTTAAGAGGGGTCTCCTCCTCTAGGGACACATCTACGTCATCGTCGTTGTCGTCGTCGTCAACCTCACCGCTGTCACCTTCCTCCTCCTCCTCCTCCTCCTCTTCCTCCCAGGACAGGTCTGCAGTGTCGTAAAGTTCCTGGCCACTAAGGA